AAAGGAGGCCTCAAAACCTCCCAAATTTACCCCCAATCCATGTTAGTATAATACTTTAATCAGATTGATCCAGAGATCAGAAAAACTGTGTGAGTTTTCAAAATCTTCCAATCTTTCTTATGATCAATACAGTTATCTCTATTACTTTTTAAGAAAAATAAATCCCTAAATTACCACCAAAACAGTGCACCTATGTTATCCTTGCTCATTGCGGGGGGGGGGGGGCAATGCTGAACCTCCAAATTGCATTTTTTCTGAATCACAAAGCTCTTTATATGTTAAAGGTAGGATGGGAGGTTGCCAACATTTCAGCCAGCCCCTGTAACTGTGTCTTTTATAGCTGTTTCAGGCACATGTAGGCAGTCAAGTCTTTCCTGAAACCAGAAATGGGTTTCTCAGTTTAGCTCCATTACAAGTACGAAGAACAAGGCAGGTTTTTGCTCCTCTCCTGGGCAACTCTTTCCAGGTGTTCCAGCAAGATCTGAATGAGAAATACCCCCATTTCTAAAAGTGGCAGAGCAGCAAGGCTGCCAACTTTTCAACCAGCTTCTGTAGCTGCGCCTTCAAAACCAGCCCGCTAAGACGGCCTCGCGCTTTATATCTCACAGTCGAGAAAAAGGCTTCGCGCCGGCTTATTTCTCACACCACGCCAGAGCATAAGAGCAGACGGGACTTGTATTTCGCGTCAGTTGGCAACCTTAAAGGCTCCACTCGGAGGAACCTTGCACTCCGCTAAGGGGTGCGGGGAAAATCATTTGCCAGCTCCTCTCCAGGTCTAAAGAGATCTGGATAGGGGAGGATTTGCAAGTCAGCTCCTCCGTCCACGGAAACAGCAGGGGGGGGGATGTGTTTATTTCCCCCCCCCAAGCGTCCCCCATTGGGGGGCCCCCCCGGTTTTTTTTTTCCCCCCCCCCCCCCCCCCCCCTCCAAAGCGCAAAACAAAAAGCAAGCAAATTTAGGGAACGGCTCACCCGCGCCTGAGAGCCGCAGCGGAGACCCGGCGAATCTGACGGTCGGGGGCGGCCGCGGATTTTGCAAGGAGCACCAAGCCGTGCCCGGGCAATGGCTAAGGCAGGACTCGGGGGGGGGGGGGGGGGGG